TCGGAGACAACGAAGAACAACGTGTGATAGACCGAATTCGAGCGAACTCCTATCGCGAAGTGATGGAAGAAGGTGCAACGTTCATCAACCGAAAGTGGATCGCTCAAAAGTTGCATCGCAGTGAAAGATGGGTCACTGACAACTGGAAAAAGGGATACGAACATTGTTTTACAGAATTTGGTAGTGGAAGACCAGGAAAGTTATCTGAAGAAAGTAAAAAGATTGCGATGGAAAACAGTGGAAAAAGGTGACGAAGCTGCAGACGAGTTGCGAAAGAGATCTTTCAGAAGTGCGGAGAGGTCATTAGTCGATCAACAATACAACGATACCATGTTAAAAAAGGGCTAAAGGCTTTTCATGTGATTCCAAAGCCAATGAAGTCGGCGACGAACATTGAAGATCGGTTATGGTTTTGCGATTATTTGCAGCAGTGGGATGAATATGACTTTATGCACCTTGCTCCAAGTGATGAGTTCTTCGTTTGGACTGTTCGTCGACCCAATTATCAAACTGATAGAGTATGGTCGTTTTCTCTGGAAGATATCCAAGATGATGAACGTTATCAAGAGCTTTCTGCGTGGCCTAATTGCTTTGGAATTTACGTCTGTTTCACTGCTGTCAAATTGATGTGGGTAATCAAGGATGATGGTGCATCATGGGATGGAGCGTATTATCGTCGGTCTATTCTGACAGATAATGTCATTCCATTTCTTTCTGATCCCAAAAATGTATTAGATCCGTCAGAGGTAGTTTATCTTCATGACAATGCTTCGTGTCACAAAGCAAACGCCACTCAAGCATTACTCAAAGATTCCGGAGTTGATTTCTTTGACCGGACACAATGGCCAGGAAATTCTCCCGATCTAAACGTAGCAGAAGATGTTGGATCAATCCTCATGGATAAGGTGGAAAGCTTGATGATCGAGGAGCACGATGCTAATCAAAATTCTAAAGTGGTTCTGCTTCAACATCTTCAAAATGTTCTTCATGAGCTTGAAAATGAAACAGAACTTTTCGAGAATCTATTGAAATCGTATCCTCGACGATTAAAAGCTGTACGTGAAGCCAATGG